CAAAAGATGTCCACCGGCTTGCTCTCTTAGGATTTGGCCTTACAGCCACATCAGATAGTGGGGTGATAGTGCAGAATGGATCAGAATCTTCATTGGTAGTGAAGGTAAGGAAAAACATGATAGTGATCCTATATTATTTCAGTTGAAAGGTGTAGTTCATTAGCAGAAAGTCGAGGTTTTCTCCTAAAGGGGAGATGGTGTACTTCGTTACCAGGGTCACTTATGTTTTCCTAACGTGGGTGAGTTGAGGAAGCATATACTTACAGAAGCTTATAACTCTAGGTATTCCATTCATCTAGGTGCTACTAAGATGTACCGTGATCTACAAAAAGTCTTTCGGTGGAACGGCATGAAGAGAGACATAGCAGATTTTGTGGCTAAGATCCTAATTGTCAATAGGTTAAGGTACAACTTTAGAAACCCGGAGGTATGACTCAGGAGATTAACATTCCTACATGGAAGTGGGAAGTGATAAACATAGACTTCATTACGGGATTACCTCGTACTCGCAGACAACATGACTCAATTTGGGTGTTAGTTGACAGAGTTACTAAGTCCGCTCACTTCTTGGCTGTCAAGACTACAAATTCAGCGGAGGACTACACCAAATTCTACATCATGCCGTTGTAATGCCCGTGGCCCTTGACCAGTGGTTAGGGGAGAACCCCCTTCCAACTTGACCCCTTCCCGACCAGTCTGTCTCTTAACGACCCATCTAAGGGTCTGTGGGAGGGAACCTGCTTGGGGCAGGTGCTACCTTCTTGTCACGAGCATCATGACTGACTGTGGTCCCCTTCATGGTCTGTCTAAGACTCCGTGGAGGGTCCCATGGTCCAGTTTTGAGTTCTTGACAAGCACGCTAAACCCCTTCCTAGCCTTTCTTGAATCTGAGGCATTATAGTCTACGACTCGTAGGACATCCTACAGTCCATAGATACCATCCGTAGAAACCAACTTAACCCTTAAAATTTCATTAATTCTAGGACTTACCTATGAGGACATTCTACGACTCGTAGAAAGGTTGATGTACTGTCTTGGTCATCTGTCGGATGAGGTACTGAAACTTGATTTTTCAAAACTCTACCCTGGTTCTACGGTTCCCTTCCTACTACCCGTAAGACCTACTATAGTCCGTAGGTAAGAATCGTAAAATTAGTCTCTGACAAATTTTCTATCCTATCCTTTTCCTTTTTACTTTCCTACTTTAAGGTGTTACAATATATCCTCATTGGGAACACTCGTCTTTGAATGGGAATCAAGGTAGCATGAATAGAGTAGAATACAACCTAACAGATCAATGTGAATGCAATCACATATACACACATATTCGAGAAGGAAAATTGACTCCAAGCTAAAGTGTATTCAAAACACCATCCCATAACGCATACATGCAATTCATACTGAATGTTCATAACCATGAAGAAATCAACCAAGCTTAACCTATTTCTTTTAAAAAAATAGATTTTTCAAAGGCAGTCATGCATGAGGGAACATGAGAATGACTAAGACGCATAAAACTAAAAGGAAGAACCATGAGGAGCTAAATGCCTCAAGCTAGAACAGAGGGAAAAAGATGAGGATACCGGGACATCATATCATCCTCGGCCTCTCAAGTTATACCCTAAACTAGTTGATTCCTCCAAAGAACCTTAATTCAAGCAACTTCTTTGTTACTTAACTTCTGGACATGATTGTCTAAAATCTCAACTGAAACCTCTTTATAAGAAAGATTTTTTGTAACTCCAAAACCTTCCAAAGGAACAATAGGTGTCGGATCTCCAACACACTTCTACAATTAAGATATATAGAATACGGGATGTACCGATTCTAAATCATTAGGAAGATAAAGCTCAGATGCAACCTTACCAATACACCTCAAATCATATATGGGCCTACACATCGGGGTCTAAGCATCCCCTTTTTCAAAAGCACATGACACCCTTTATAGGTGAAATTTTCATGTAAACCCAATCATAAACATAAAACACGAGATCTCTTCTCCTACTATCAGCATAGGACTTTTATCAACTATTAGCCGTTTTAACCCTTTCTCTAATCAGCCAAACATTCTCGATAGCCTCATGTATTAACTCGAGACTTAGCAAAGTAACCTCACCAACTTCATACCAACCTATATGAGATCTACACCTTCTGCGATAAAGAGCCTCAAATGGAGCCATACCAATACTTGAATGATAGCTATTATTAAATTCAAACTCAATCAAAGGAAAGTGATTCTCCTAATTACCCTTGAAATCAACCACACAAGCTCTCAACATATCATCAAAAGTCTAAATAGTTGCTCCAATTTCACATCAGTTTGAGGATGAAATGTCGTACTAAGGTTGACATGAATACCAAGAACTTTTTGGAAAGATTTCCAAAACTGAGAAGTAAATTAGGTACCACGATCGGAGATAATGGATTGGGGAACTCCGTGAAACCTAACACTATCCCTTAGATACTACATAAAATAATTTTCCGTTTAATAAGAAACCTTGACAGGAATTAAATGAGCCGGCATCATCATACAATCTACTATAACCCAAAGTGAGTCATTTTGTTGTCGAGTCTGGGGTAAACCATCAATAAAGTCTATATTCAGATCCTCCCACTTCCAAGTAGGAATGCTAATATTTTAGGAGAAACTTCCCAGGTTTTGATGCTCAACTTTATCTTGTTAATAATTAGGGCACTTAGCCACAAATTTCTCAATGTCCTTCTTCATCCCATTCCACTAGTACACCTCTTGCAACTCACGATACATCATAGTGGCTCCTAGGTAAATGGAATATCGAGAACTATGGGCCTCCAATATAATATTTTCTCTCAAGTCATCAACATTGGGAACACACAACAAACCTTGATATCTAAGCACACCATCTACCCCTTGGGAGAAAGCTTCAACAGACTTTTCAAGCACTACTTCCTTCAAGTCAACCAAAATCAGATCATGACCCTACTTGGCTTTCACACCCAACATATACGATGATTATGAACCATTATTAACAATTAGAACACCCTCACTTGAATCAACCAACAAAATACCTAGCCGAGCTAGTCTATGAAAGTCATGAACCAACTCTTTCTTACAATACTCAACATGTGAAACACTATTAATGGACAACTAACTTAAGGCATCAGCCACAACATTATCTTTGAGCGGGTGATAAAGGACACTCATGTCATAGTCCTTTTAAGACTTCTAGCCATCTATGTTGAAAAATAATTAAATTCTTTTACTTGAAGACATATTGAAAACTCTAGTGGTGAGTAAAGAAATCAACATAGACACCATATAAATAGTTTCTCCTCATCTTTAAGGCAAAAACCACCACTGCTAGCTCCAAATAATGGGTAGGATAGTTCTTTTAATGAATTTTAAGTTGAATTGAAGCATAATCATTAACTTTTCTATTTTGCATAAGAACACACCCTTATCCAATAGTTGAAGAATCACAATAAACAACAAACCCATCGAATCCTGTCAGTAAGGTAAAAAAAAGAGCCTAAGTGAATCTATCCTTCAACTCTTGGAAACTCTTCTTACACGCTTATGACTATAAGAACTTACCATTATTTTTGGGTCAATGCAGTCAATGAAGTGGAAAATGAAAAACCTTCCATGGACCTTCAATACTATCTAACCAAACCAAGGAAACTTTGAATATCTCAAGAGGATAGAGATCTATCCCAATTTTAGCCCCATTCCTCGTCTTAGGATCTAACTCAATACCTTCACCGAAAAAAATGTGACCAAGAAAAGACTATGATCTCATCCATAACTTACATTTATTAAACTTTGAAAATAGTTGTTGGTCCTTGAGGACTTGCAACACAATCCTTAAAAGATGGGCTTGATCATTCTCGCCCCGTGAGTAAATCAAGATGTCACGATGAACATGATCACAAACATACCAAGATATTGTCTAAACACACTATTCATCAAGTCCATAAATGTGGCTTGAGCATTAGTCAAAGGAAATAACATTACCAAAAACTCATAATTCACATACTAAATTCAAAAAGTCGTCTTTGGGATGTCATCATCCTTCACCCTTAATTGGTGATAACTCTCACAACCCAAGGTGGCACCTAGGCATAACATGGCATATGAGACCCCGAGAGGCCCCATACAAGCCACTTAGAATTCATCATACATGATAATACAGGTATAAGGGATTTAAAGATAATTTCAACAGATAAGAGTTTATAAAATGAAGCAGAAGTTTAAAACATCGTCTCAAAGCCATCTAGTACATAAGAAATGATCGGGAAGTAGCCCGTACATCAAGTTCAAAACTGAAAGATGAAGGCAAGGTGAATAAAAGGCGGTCCTCGAAACATGAGGACTCACCAATCTTTAAGTCTCTACTAAAGCTCCCTAGCCACAAAATTTTGAACCTGGAGCGTCGGACCCTACATATTGATAAGAAATGTAGGAAAGAGTTTGTGTTTGTACAAAAAATGCACTAATTAAATATGAAAGCCATGCATAAAACATTTGAAGTCATGCCAAAACGGAAAATTTTCACAACATGCAATGGCCAAGCTAAAACGTGAGATAAAAGAGGTAAACACCATAAGTCATAAAAACATGGTCAATGCAAGCAAACATATTTAAACATTTGTGAGATACTTCTTAAAGTAATCTTAGTTCATTAGTGTAGGAGATTTACCTTTAATGGACATATAAGACCATGTGACCTATCAACACAAAATTTGTTATTTGTCCCACATTAAAAAGGGGTGTCCTACTTATCAAGGTAAGACCATGAACGTCTAGCTTATATGGATCCACTAGGTAATGTTTATCTAAGACAATCATCCTATGAGGGCACATAGGTATGGGATAAAAGATTACTACTAGAAACTCAGCCTCTACTGCCAGGAGATCTTCCATCTCAATATCCTCTCGGTGCTAAGAGTAAATCCTATGGAATAGTCATTTTCTTAAATTATCTTTATCATCCATGGAAGGGAACTTCATATTGCAAATCTAAGCTAAGTCATATGTCATCCATGGAAAGGTACCATTAAGACTACCAAACAAAGCTAGTTTTCATTAGAATAGCTTCTTAACTTTGATTCATTTTAGGTGAGAAGACCTTTTAACCTTAGAATCCTTTATGTGAGAAAACCTTTCACATTCATTCTTTTGTATGTTTATGAGAAACCCTTTCACAACACAACAACATTGATACTTCACTCTTAAAGCATTCTCAAAACATTTACATCAATTTCATAACAACATGCATAATTCCATAATCCTCTTTCCATAATTCAAAACTCACTTTCAATCATCATAATCTAGAAAAAATGGATTAGGCATGGGTTCATGGTAACTCATCTTAAAATTATGTAATCATCTCAATTCATTCTTGATAGATCATAAAATAATCAAATAAATCAATATTTAAAGGAACCCATGACATGGAAAAAACCTCAAATTATCAATTGGGGATTCCTAACTTTGTAAATTGGAGAATTTTGGAACTCCATGGAGGCAGGAAAAGGATCCATGGATGAAAACTATCATATAATGTAGTAATTGGAGACTTGACTTGAAACCCTAGGTTGACTACTTCTTCTTCAAGCTTTCTAGAGAGAGAAATATTTTGGAGAGGGAGACTTATTCTTCTTTTTCGAAAATAGACGGAATGAATTCAATTGGGGAAATTTGAGGTTTAAATCACTAATATAGCAATTTTAGGTAAGGGTAAAATGACATAGTATTTGGATAGAATAATTAGGAAAAGACCCAAAAGACCCTAACTTAAAACTAACACGTCCACTGCCACAATGGCCTTCACGACCTGTCAAGGACTCCACGAGCCATTGTGGAGGTCATGGTCCTTGACATATTTTTGGGGGAGAACCCCTATAGCCCTAACCCTCTTCACGACCACCTTAACGGTCCGTGATGCTTACCATGGGCCGTCTAAGGGTTTGTGGGAGGGGAACCAATCTTTTTCAGGTTGTGAAAGCTTTGACGAGCACCACCACGAGTTGTGGTCCTCTTCACGGCCCATAAAGGGCTCCATAAAGAGTCATATGGCCCAGTTTTGGGCTGGTGACTTCCTGTTTGGCCCCTTTCATAGTCTTCTTAATTTTGAGGTGTTACTGGAGTTGATCAAACAAGTTATCTATCCTTGAGAGAGGACATTTATTCCTAAAATTAACTTTTATCAATTGCCGGTAATCAATAAACATGTGAAGTGAACAATCCTTCTTACAAACAAAAAAATCTAGAGCACTCCATGGAGAGATACTTGGTTAGATGAAACCTGAACACTCTGGATTCGAGAATAAAGGAAATGCAGATTTTTAGAACTTGCAGGTACCACCGATGGAGGCCAAACCACGGCCCGTGGTCTAGACCACAGACCGTAGGTAGGGTCCGTAGGTTGGCCATCCAGATTTCCCAAGTACACCATGACCTTCGATCAGACCTACGGACCGTAGATGGGACCACGGTTTGTGGTCCAGGGTCCATGAATCGTTGCCCTCAAACAAAGCCCATGATGCCAAATGACGCCCTGCCAGGGCGGACCATCGTTTAGTCCAAGGTCTGTCGGTTAGGTTCGTCGATGGCCTCGTTCAACTTTTAAGTTAGGGTCATTCTGGTCTTTTCCCCTATAGGCCTTAGGAATTTAAACTACGTTGTTTTAAACCTTAACTACGTTGTTTTACTCAGTTTAAGACTAATAATTTAGGTAGAGCCTAACTAAAACCACTATTTTCAAAAATCACCAAAACTTAGAGATAAAAAATGAGAAAGAGGCACTAGTTTTCTCAAGAACACGCAACAGGTTTTCTTTAGTTTTAGCCCTGAAATCGAAGGATTTATCCATAAATTTCGTCACTAGGTATGTAAGATTTCACTAGTGGGTTCCTTTCATCCACTAGGTCCATAGAATTCAGTCAGATTCCTTATTCTCCATATCTTCACTAGACCTAGGGTTTCTAAATCCTTGGATAATTGTTTTGATATAGCTGTTGTAGTATTTGTAATCAAAATATTCATGTTTTCTTAGAATCGTTATTGAATTCCCATTATTACACTCAGAACCCTAGTTTGTGTAGATTCTCCTAGTTCATGAATTGCACTTTCTAGGTCAGTTAAATAGATAATCATGCTTCTGATTTCGAATGTCTCATTGTCAGTATATAAATGTTGTATTCTCAGTTAGCATGTCATTTAGGGGTGTGCAAAAATCGAACTGAAAAAATGTTATTAGGTTATTGGATTTTTAATGGGTTTATAAAAAAACATTTATTGGGTTATTGGTTTAGTTTTGGTTTTTATTATTGGGTTATTTGGTAAACTGATATCCCAATAAGACGGTAATAATTTACTACTTAACCCTTCCTAAATATTAAATATTAATAATTTAATATATAACTAGACATCATAACAATATCAAATTATTATTACTGTACCCATATCACACTAGGTTGCTTTACTAGTCTTTATTGTTTACCCAAAACCTAAAGACTAAAGTAAGGGTTCGCAATTGTAGCTATTTGATTTTAGTTTTAGTTTTAGGCTTGTGAACGCTTTGATTTTAGTTTTAGTTTGTAATTGTAGGTTGTAGCTTTTGCAAGTTTGTAAGTGTCTGTAATTTGATTACTATAAAAAAAATTGTACTATGTTTTGGTGGTGACATGTAATTATAGCTTTCGTATGATATTTTCTCTTATTGATGCAATTTTTCATTATCTTTCTTGTTTAACTATATCAAAGTATTTAGAGAAGTGAGAAGTTACAAAATATTTTACGGACATTTTCTTATTGGGTAAACCAAAAATCGAACTGATAATGACCAAAAACCGATAAAAATATCATATCGGTTTGTTATTGTGTTAGTATATATGAAAACTGAAAATCGATAAACCAAACCGTCTGATGCACACCCTTAGTGTTCATGTTGATGTGTTCATCGATCATAACAGCCTCCAATATGTGTTCACCCAGAAAGAGTTGAATATTCGTCCGAGGAGATAGCTTGAATTCTTCAAAGTCTATGACATGAATGTCCTTTACCACCCGGGTAAGGCCAATGTAGTGGATGATGCTCTCAGCAGTTTGTCCATGGGTAGTGTAGAACATGTTGAGGAAAAAAAGAAAGAGTTAGCCAAAGATGTTTATTGGCTTGCTCGCTTAGGAGTTTTCCCTACGGACATGTCAGATGGTGGTGTGATAGTTCAGAATGGGTCAGAATCTTCATTGGTAGCAGAGGTTAAGGAAAAACAAGATAGTGATCCTATATTACTTCAGTTGAAAGATGCATTTCATCAGCAGAAAGTTGAGGTTGTCTCCTAAGGCGGAGATGGTGTACTTTGGTACCAAGGTCGCTTATGTGTTTCTAGTGTGGGTGAGTTGAGGCAGCAGATCCTTACTGAAGCTCATAACTCCAGGTATTCCATTCATCCAGGTACCACTAAGATGTACCGTGATCTATGGGAAGTCTTTTGATGGAACGACATGAAGAGGGACATATCAAACTTTGTGGCTAAGTGTCGTAATTGTCAACAGGTTAAGGTAGAACATTACAAACCAGGAGGTATGACTTAAGATATTAACATTCATACATGGAAGTGGGAAGTGATAAACATGGACTTCATTATGGGTTTACCTCATACTCGCAGACAACATAACTCAATTTGGGTGATAGGTGATAGAGTTACTAAGTCCGCTCACTTCTTTGCTGTCAAAACTACATATTCAGCGTAGGACTACGCCAAACTGTACATCCATGAGATAGTTAGGTTGCATGGGGTTCCCTTTTATATCATCTGAGATAGAGGTCCTCATTTTACCTCTCATTTTTTGAAATCGTTTCAGAGAGGTCATGGTACTCAAGTAAATCTCAATACACCATTTTCATCCACAGATAGATGGTCAGGCAGAACTTACCATTCAGACCTTAGAGGACATGTTGAGAGCTTGCGTGATCAATTTCAAGGGTATTTGGGATGAACATGTACCTCTCATAGAGTTATTCTATAATAATAGCTTTCATTCTAGTATTCAGATGGCCCCGTATGATGCACTTTATGGGTGTAGATGCAGGTCCCCTGTTGGTTGGTTTGAAGTAGGTGAAGCAACATTTATTGGGTCTGCTTCAGTTCATGAGGCTATGGAAAAAGTTCAGCTCATCAAAGATAGACTAAAGACTACTCAGAGTCGTCAGAAGTCCTATGTAGATGTGAGGAGAAGGGACATAAATTTCAAAATCGATGATTGGGTTTCCCTAAAGGTATCACCTATGAAGGTGGTGATGAGATTCGGCAAGAAAGGGAAGCTTAGTCCTCGTTATGTAGGTCCTTACAAAATCTTGAGAAGGGTTGGTAATGTGGCTTATGAGTTAGAGTTTCCACCAGAAGTAGCCGCGGTTTATCCAGTCCTTCACGTTTCCTTGTTGAAGAAGTGTGTGGGTGATCCAGCATCGATAGTACCATTAGAGAGTGTGGCTGTAAAGGATAGTCTCAATTATGAAGAAGTGCCAGTTGAAATTCTTGATCGTCAGGTCATAGGTTGAGAAATAAAAAAGTCTCTTTAGTCATGGTTTTGTGGAGGAGTCAGTCCGTAGAGGGAGCTACTTGGGAAGAAGAAGTAGCCATGAAGGCCAAGTATCCTCACCTCTTTCCTTTCGATTCCGTTTCAACTTGAGGTTTTAGTTCCTCTCCACTTTCACGGTTTACTCATTCTAACTCAATCTTAGTATCTTGTTATTTCAGGTTTTCTTGCATTTCAACATATCTGCATGTTCTTGGAACTCACTTCAGTTAGATATAAGTTTCTAGTACTTAGTGGTAGGGATTAAAGCTCATTCCCTCCATACTCAGCCAATTTAGACTTCATTTGAGGACAATTGTTCCCAAGGGGGAGATTATGTAAGACCCCAGATTTGAGAACGACCAAAAGGCAGATTTTCAGAACTTGCAGGTGCCAAACCACGACCAGTGGTCTGGACCACAGACCATAGATAGGGACCGTGGTTG